CACCCAGCTTGCAAGCTGTTTGTGCTGGTGTCATTCCTGTTGGTAAGCAGATGCATTTTAAGAGCCCATTCACACCATAAATTGGAAGGAAATCGCAAGTCAGAGGGTCCGTTGACTTGCAGTTTCAACCTCTGTTGACTTCTGTTTCGGGGTTTATTTTTTTTTACATTTTTTTTTTCTCTGTAACGGAATGGAACAAATCAAAAGTGGTGTGAACTGGTCCCATTATTTTGCGGTGCCCTTGTGTTGGCATCCATTAAAAAAAACAAAACAGATCGCAGCGGATCTGGTGTGAATGGGGCCTAAAAGCATATAAAAAGCCAAAACGGATTCCACAGTTTTGGATCAAGTAGTGACAGGAGTGTCACATCATCCAAGAAAGAAGTTTTAGCTTTAGATATACTTATAGCATTGCATTTACTTTATATATTAAAATTTACTATTATGGTATAAAAGACGAATTTGCCCTCAACAGGAACTGAATTTTCCAGCTGTAAAATCAAGAATTTTTACAGGGTCTGTTCCAAAAATGTTTCTGGGAAGTGGTTTTGAATTTGCATTGGTGAACACTTAAAAAGGAGAACTATGAGGCGAGTGATTTTCACTCAGCCTCATAAACTGAGCTGACCTGTGACAATGAAACTGTCACAGGTCGGCTCAGTAGATCGGGAAGTGAGCGAACACATACCGGCACTTGCTCACTTCTCGATCTATCCGTGCAGAGAGCCGTGACAGGGGAGGGACTGGATTCACACCTCCCCTGTCCGATCCTCCAGCGCTGACTGGCGGAATGGACGGGGCGGTTACAGCTGGCCCTGCCTCTAGATAGGCAGAGCCAGCTGTCACTCACGCAGCTGGGTGGATCCAGACAGAATTGTCGGGATCCGTTCCTGCTGCTGCAGCGTCTCAGTATACCGCGAGCTGCAGCTCGCGGTATACTGAGCTTTGGGTGACGGGAGGACGCTAGTTTGTGTCCTCCCGTTACCCATTGGAAAGGCCCTACCCCCATTAGTTCTCCTTTAATTTTTATTTAGCTAGTAGAATCTGTATTTCTTAATAAGCAAGCAGCTGTAACATATGTATTGCTAGGCTTCTGTCCATTCTTTTTTTTTTATAAAATGTCAATGGACATCCAAACTGTTGGTGGCAATCATATTTCATGAGAAATTGGAGTGAAAATGTCAGCATTTCAAGTACAGATTTTGACAACACTGTATTGTGGTGCAGTTGACACTATTTAAAAACGGAATCTGAAGGCGACACATTATGTTGTATCATTTGAAATTCAAAGCATACTAGACAAGTGCCAAGTTCACTATAAGCTACCAATATTTACCTTCCCACACTACTCCCCATCTGCTGCACAGGACTGAGAATGCCCTGTACTTCAGCATATAGGGATACATGCAACACACCCACTGCCAACTCATACTGCAGGGCCTGGTGCAAGTGGCCAGACACCAGTCCTGAGTCCTTACTAATAATGGGGAATTAAAATCGAGGATATTGTAATTGGGGAGACACTGGGTAGTAGTGATCACAATGTGATTACTTTCAATATTAAATACAGGAAAGGAAAGAGGGCAGGACGGACAAGAACCCTTAATTTCAGAAGGGCAAACTTCGATAAGTTGCGCAAACTAGTGGGGGAAATAAAATGGGATAACTCATTTCACAACCTAAACTCAGACCAAATGTGGGACTGCTTCAGGAACACATTACATATTGCCATTTCAAAGTGTATACCATTGGGTAACAAAAACAAAAGATCAAAGACTAAACCGATATGGCTAAATAAAACTGTAAAACTACATGTTAAGGCAAAGAGAATGGCATTTATAAAATATAAGATGGAAGGGACGGCATTGGCGTTCCTTAAATACAAGGAATGTAACAAAAAATGCAAACTAGTAATCCGGGAAGCTAAAATAGAATGCGAAAAGCATATCGCCGCAGATAGTGAAAAAAAAAAAAAAAAAAAAACCCTAAAAAAATTCTACCAATATATTAAACAGTAAAAAAAGTGAGAAAGGAGCAGATAGGCCCAATAAAGGACAAAAAACGAGAAGTTACTCACAAGTGACAATGAGAGGGCCGAGGCGCTGAACAATTTTTTCTCCTCAGTATACACTCAGGAGGGAAACGGGTTCGACGTACGTGATAAAACACATAGTTCAACCGATAATATACCACAATGGTTGACGGAAAGCGGAATAGAACATAGACTTAAAATGCTCAATGCAAATAAAGCAGTTGGACCAGATAACCTTCACCCCAAGGTACTTAAGGAATTAAGCCAGGTTATAACAAGACCATTATTCCTAATTTTTAAGGAATCCTTAGTGACTGGTAGGGTACCATGTGATTGGCGGAGGGCTACGGTAGTTCCAATATTCAAAAAGGGGGCTAGATGCCAACCAGGGAACTATAGGCCGGTCAGTCTAACATCGGTAGTTTGTAAACTGTTAGAAGGTATAATTAAGGACTATTTGGTAAAATTTGTTAAGGATAAGGGCATAGTTAATGACAATCAGCATGGGTTCAGGAAAGACCGTTCCTGCCTGACTAACTTGCTAACTTTTTATGAGGGGGTAAGCAGAGATATGGATGGAGGGAAGCCGGTAGATGTGGTATACCTGGATTTCTCAAAGGCATTTGATACGGTACCACACAAGCGCTTACTTCACAAGCTGAGGGCTATGGGCATAGATGATGAGGTGGGTGTGTACGTGGATAGAGAACTGGCTACGGGAACGTGTCCAGAGAGTATCTGTAAATGGCACCTTTTCGGACTGGGCTAGTGTAACGAGCGGGGTGCCTCAAGGATCTGTGCTGGGTCCGATAGTGTTCAACCTATTCATTAATGAAAAAGGAGATTAGGGGGGATATGATTTTCATGTACAAGATGTTCAATGGTGACAGCAACATTGGCAACAAACTGTTTGAGATTAACTCCATTACAAAAAGACTAGGAGGCCACCACCTAAAGTTGGTGGAGAAAAAATTCTAGCACAATGGGCGAAGAGAGGGTTCTTTACAGTAAGAGCGGTTAAGGTTTGGAAGTCACTGCCATCGGCAGTGATTTCAGCCAAGAGTGTAGATTTGTTCAAGAAACGTTTGGACAATTTCTTGAGGGACCGTAATATCCAGGGATACCAGTATCCCTAAGAATGAGATGATGCGTGGACCTATATGGGTTGGACTTGATGGACGTATGTCTTTATTCAACCCCAAATACTATGTAGAAAGTCAAAACATTTGCAAGAATTGTTTAACATTCTGGCAGATCAAAGTAGTTAGGTAGAGCTGTGAAGGCAATACAGGATTGCGTATAGTGTTACCAAAATTGCAAACCTGTTATTTTACCCAACATGGGCAACGAAAAAGTGGAATTTAGCTGCAGCCCATTTCCAATGCAGCATATAATGTGTCAGGAAAGGAAATTGCTAGGTCAAAAATTGCTTCTTGGACATGTTTATCAAGAATACTATCAAATATTTGCTGTAGATTCTAAACTATCCCTGAACTTATTTTGCCTATACACAACACATTACCACATTGTTGCACTGACATTTGTGTCTTTTGACAGATTATGCATTAGCAATTTTCATTTCTTACTTTTGAAATTCCCATTCTCTGTTATCAAGTGGACAAACTTGTCGAGTCTTCAACCAACGGGAAATGCAATGAAAGTGGAATGCATGCTTAAAAAAAAAAAAAAAGATATAAATAGCCGTATACACAAAATACACACACCACACTATGAGCTCAGTACAAGACACAGAGACCTGGCATCCCAAGATTAGAGATTCCTTCACTTACGGTCTGGTAAAAAAGGTTGTCCCAAGGGCGGGAAAGGAGGGGATCCTCTAGCAACACAAATTTGGGTACAGATACACTATAAGGGGCAGCTGTGCATGACAACCAATCAGCTTCCCTCTTTCATATTCAAATCTTAACTGAACAAACTGGAGAGGAGCTGATTGGTCACCATGGGCAATTGCTCCAGATTCTGCCTGCTCCAGTTTTGATAAATGCCACCCTATGTGTGTTAAAGTTTTAATGTTGCCTAACTGAAGAACATCATCACACAGCACAAGGCCCTTTCTCAGTATATGCATGAATGCCCCAGTGCTTAGATATTCACTTACTTCATGGGTTAATCAGTATAGAGCCTGGACAAATTGCCTAAGCCTCACCTACTGGTCGATTACTGTGATGGGCAGCCTCACTGTTGTGTGGTAGTAGCAGGCAGTAATGTGGCATAGGAAATAGAAAAAGGGAAGGCCCAGTAAAGCAAGCAAACATTCCAGTTGTCAGCCCTGGGTTAGGGAAGTATAAAACTTCACATTTGCTTTAAAGTGTATGTAAACCCAAAACCAAAAATGTTATATACTGTCTTACCAGTCTTTGGATGTGGTGGAAGCATTAGTTTGCTTCAGGCTCCCCCACACCCTTATTTTTACCTGGTACTCCAGCAAATAAACTTCCCCTCCCTGGATGGCTACGCACTCTCCTCCACTCTGAAATGGAGGCAACCGTGCTTGCCACCCAACTGGATTTCAAACAGCTGCCTTAGTTCATCTTCGTTACATTGCAGAAAAAGGAATAATGGGTACTGATGTTTTGCTTTCTGTTCCACTCTTTTGGGGAAGATCAAACAGGTATCTTTTGTATATGCTGAAAACGTTCTTGGGCTCAATAATGAACTAATGCAGACACACTAGTAAGCAAAAATATATCACATTCTTTTTTTGGGTTTAGCTATGCTTTATTCCTTTGATTACAAAGGATGTGAAGTACATGTCATAGCTGGCCCTCTCCTAGACAGCCAATTGTTTCTAGTACACGTCATAGAGATTAAAACAAGCGCACAGCTGCACCGAAAGCCATGAGCTTGTTCTAAAATGTAAAAGACAGGGCTCTGGACTTTGAATAAAAATGATCAGAGTGGCTATCTAGCTGCCGACCACTTCTGCAGAAGTACCACTGCCCACTTCTTACCTCTCTGCTGATGCCCTGAGCCTTTTTGTTAAAGAGGAACTCTGGGGGAAAAAAATATTCCTAACCCTTGCAGTGGGGCTACCCTTTGCACTACAAGGGCTTAGAGCTCATTTTTGTCTTGGGTGTAAGATAAAGTTACTCACCTTAACTTTGCAGCCAGCTGGTTGTTTGACCGGTCCCTGGAACCTCTATCCCCCTCAGCTCCAAGGGGCATACCATCGCTGTTGCAGGAGGAGGAGACAGGCTGGAAGGAGCAATGCATCAGCTAGTTGGCTGTGAGGTTCGGTGAATATAGGTCTTTATTTTATACCCTAGACGAAAACAAGCACTTAACCCTTGCAATGCGGGGGTAGCCCTACTGCAAGGGTTAAGGATGTTTCTTGGGAGTTCTTCTGTAAGTGGGCGATGAGACTGGTGTCCTCCGATACTGCCGGTCTCATCGCCATCTTTTTTTGTCAGAATGCTAAGTGGGGAAATCAGGAAACATGCTTTACATCTCTTTACTGTTGGTAATGAATGCTGAAGTGCCAGTTGTGAATGAACGCCGAGGTGCTCAGGCCTGAGAACTTCTTGGTTCGTGCTCAATATAGGGCTGGACATCGGGTAAGAAGGGGGTCAGTCTGTGTCCTCAATCTGCTTCTCCAGCATACAGTATGTGAAAAACAGCAAAGATCACCAAATGGCAAAACGTTTCTGGTATTCAGAGTCATGCTTTCTCAAAAGATCTACAACTTTTATTATAGGACACTTCTAACGGCTTGTGTTGAAGTTGCATAGCAGATAATACAACAATTTATACCTCTGACATTAGTTTAAGTTGGCTAAAGCAACACAAAATCCTGGCATTCTTCTCTTTTCTAATGCAGTGTAATCTAGTGATATTAGGCAGAAAGCATCAGCCAAATAGGAGCTCATTTATACATTCTTAGTTGAGTCATGGAATTCCAGTTTCTCTCTCTTCCATTGAGGGTCACAGGAATTCAAAAACAGGTTATATGCCGCCACCTAGATGCAGTCTAGACACTGGCAAACTGAAAAATAACTGATCCTCCACCCAGCATGCCTGAAGGTTAGACACCCTTTTCTCATCTTTGTGGTGGGAGGGGGGCTAATTAAAGTTTTTGATAGCCTTTACTTTCCTTTGATGACTTCAATCAAGATCCTTGATACACTGCTGTTTTTTTTGGCTCTGTGACCTAAATTCAAGACTTCTCACACTGCTGCTTGAGCTGGTCTCTACATTGCAGCTATCTGATTCTGCATATCCTTAGCATCAGCTCTGAAAGCCATACATGGACTGCTGCAAGACTGGAAGATTGCGGTGCATGCCTGGAATGTGAACATTGGGCTCTGAATGTTGTGCTTACAGTACAGTGTTAGTTAGCCGCAAAGTGCTATCTGGGTCCAGAGCCGTGTCACAGCCTCAGGTGTCATCCCGTTTCAGAAGAGTCACTCCTGGTAGGCCCCTGGACGTGGCAAGGCTAGCCTGGAATGTGACCTTCAGGCACTGCATTGAGGTACTTTACAGACCTTTGTGTGCGGTGTTAGCTTTCTGGATCCAGAGCTGTGCATCTTGAACTGTGGCAGCATCTCTAGTGTGACATTGAGGGTAACTTGGTGAGGAAGGCTGGTCGTGTTAAAGCACAAGGAGCTCCCTCGCAGCTTGTACTGCTGGGCACCATTTTTAAGTTTCATGCCTCTTGCCATTTTCACTATAATAAAAAGGTTAAGGCTGAGAGATTGAGTGCGGACATCATCTGCTAGGTGGAGTGATCCACACTTTCCCACCATTCAGCCTAGAGGAAGCGCCATCCCACTGTTGCTCCTGAAGCACCAAGTGGTCTCCAGCTCCATTCCACTGCACACCTACAGTGATTCCGTCACCTATGGCCACCTAAAACCCTTAGCAGCACAGTGCCTGGTTGAGTACTTGAGGCCTTGTTTCCATTGGGCCAATTTGCACACTACTATATGGCACAACACGTCTTCTCAAAGACTGCCTGCTAGGAATTTCCTAGCCATTTGTGCCCAGCTACTGGATCATTCCGTCCATAGGAGTTTTAAGCACGCTCTGGTGCCATACACAGTAGTCTGTCTCTGACCCTCCTGACACAGAGTCAAACTGGGTCTGCAGTCCCAGTTGCCATTTTAGATTCAGAAAAGGCTAGGAGAGGCCGGTTTTGGGTCACTGCAGTCCCCTGCAGTTGATTCAGAAATACAGGAGTTGCTTCCAACCTTATTAAAGCTTTGCATATCACCCTTCGTTTGGAAGATCAGCCTACTATTATAGGCCTTGGATCTTTTAGAGTTCATAAGGATGCAAAGACTATACCCTCTGTTTGAGGACTTAATCTATGCGGACCGCAAACAGCCTGAATGGTCCTGGGCCCCACCTCATACTGCCAGAGCATTTCCTTTCATTAATAAATGGTCTGTCCCAAATGTGGATGCTCCAGTAATTCACGTGAACAGAGATACCACTAGAAGAGGCAAAGTTATAGTTATCTTTAGGAACTAGCGGACAGAAGTTCAATTCACTCCTTATATCCCAGTTTGAGCTAACTGGTTTGGCCCTTCATCCTGTGTTGGTAGGAACTCAGATCTGCCTCTCCTTTTGTAGACCTCAAGTCTTCCTTGTGACCTTTGTCCCAGGGCTGTCCTCACGTCTGGGAATTGAGTCTGGTTCCCTGGAGCAGTCTGTGCCTGCTTCTTGGGGGCAAGTTATGAGTAGGTCCCTTGACCTGAACCCTGTTGGACATCATTTTGGTGCTGTAAGGTCTGAAAGGGCTTGGGAATTCTACCTGTGACAGGATGAGTGACCCAAAGAATATGTGGGACAACTCTGATCTTACTCTGTGTGGTTGCCTTCGGGACCCTCCATTCAGGTAAATCCATTTTGGGGAAATAGATTGTGCACATGGGTGTGCTTTATCTTCTACATGGCAGAAAAAAACCCATTGCTGAAGGGCTTTGTGTCCTCTTGGATTGGTGAGCAGACACCAGCACATAGACCCTGGAAATTGATGATGGACATAAGGAACCATTAGATCCATAGGGAGTACCTGCATGTCTCGCCTCAAATCTAAACTTCCAAATACCAAGGGGGTTCCAAACACCAAATGTAATAAGAGAAGTAGAAGTGATGTAAAGATGGCGTGCCCCAGTACCCATCGAGCCATTAACCTTTCCCTGCCAGAGTGTATTTTGTAAACATTAAAATTCACATTTTAGGCCTGAGAATTACTTAAACCCCCCCACCCCCAGAATGATATTTTTCCATAAAGCAGAGACCCTGTAAAATAAAATGGTGGCAGTTGCAAATATTTATATTGCATGATATTAGCCCAACTGTTTATCAAACCCAACATTTCTGTAACAATATACACTTAATTTTAGTGCACAAAATCAAAATGTAATACCCCATTATATATAAAAATATAAGGGAGGAGGTTGTGCCTAGCACATTGATACCCAATATGCCAAGCTTAAAAATTGTGTGCGCCCGTGAAAGAGCAAAAAACTGCAGTACCCCAAATTGTCCATAGGCAATGCTTTAAAAGCTCGTACAGGTTATTAAATTTAGAGTGAACTGTGATTATCGGCCCTAGAACCATTGCTCTCATTCCAGGGTACCCGGCAATAACAAACATGCTTGACGCAATCATAGTTTTCGTACGTAGGCGCACCCATTTGTATGTGTGTGTGTGTGTGTACGTGGAGACTAACCTTTTTTTGGGGGTGTTTTTAAAATGTAAAACTTTATTTTTCTTTTTACTTAAAAAGAACTATGAGGTGAGTGATTTTCACTCAACCTCATAGTTCGAGCCGATGTGTGAAAATGAAACTGTCACACGTCGGCTCAGTAGATCGGGAAGTGAGCGAACACATACCGTCGCTCGCTCACTTCTCGATCCAGTCCCTGCAGAGAGCCATGACTGTCACTCAAGGCTCCCTGCAGGGATTCCCCCCTGCCGGGAGCCATGACTGTCACTCAAGGCTCCCTGCAGGGATTCCCCCCTGCCCGCTACGATCCTCCAGCTCTAACTGGAGAAAATAACGGGGGAGGGGGCAGGTACAGCTGGCTCTGCCTCTAGATAGGCAGAGCCAGCTGTCACTCATGCAGCTGGGTGGATTTCGACAGTAATGTCGGGATCCGTCCCGGCTGCGGCGGTCTCAGCTACAGCTCGCGGTATACCGAGCTTTGGGTCACGGGAGGAGGCTAGTTTATGTCCTCCCGTGACCCTGAAGAGAACTATGGGGAAAAACACTGACCCCATAGTTCTCCTTTAACTTCATTGTTATTAGATAGCACATCACATATATAAGCACTTGATGACATGTGCTTTTACAAGGAGACATTAGGGGGTCGCTGGGCCATGAAAGTGATCAGGTGACTTTATAGGTACACTGACTATAGCAACCAGGAGTCAGTTTACAGGGGCCCACTGCTGCCAACATGTAACATACATTGGTGGCAGCAAAGAGTTTTCTCTTTTTCTATTTGCTAGTGTCCAAACATCTTTTCAGCTGCAATTATTTGGTTAAATATATAAGAGGCAGAGTGGCACTTTGACGTTATCACTATTAAAGCTGACTGATAAAATAGAAGAATTGACAGATCCGAGTCTGCCTGCTCGGACGAGAGGGAGGTTTATTTAACCAGAGGGGAATCTGGTAAAACCCCTTTTTTTCCCTTTCTTATTCTTTCTTGCCAGTTTCTTTCCTTTTTCTACCTTCCTTTTTCAGACCTCCTGCCATGTTTTGTTTTTGCCTCTGTTTTCTTTTATCCGGAGTGGATAGCTTTATTAGGGATAAGGACTCCAGGCGTTTCTTTAACCCCTTCATGACTGAGGCCCTTTTTTCAATTTTTGCACCCAAGGGGTTTTTCTGTTGACATATACCCACTTCTTTGTGGGTCTCAGTGCTTCTCATCTGCAGGACCTGATGCTTTTATCATAAGGTGGTGTTCCCCCTCCCGTTTCGAATGTGGAGTCACTGACCCGCTACAATATTTATCCCCCTTAAAATTTTCTTACTTATTGTAAACCATCATTGACTGCTGTTGCCATTATATGCATGATTATTTTGTCCTATTAGGTTGATATTTTCCCTCTTTTTTTTTACCTTTGCCTTAGAGTCTGTACTTAAGTTGTTAACTCTTTGTTATTTGACTCTGGATCTTGTATTTCTTCTGGAAGTTCTTTTTGAAGTTTTGTACGTTACAAAAATGTAATAAAGAATTTATGGGGGAAAGAAAACCAGATCCTCTTATGAGCTTCATTTAGCCCCCATCTCAGTCTGCAACAGACAAAATAAAATAGTAACCCTGTGCCCAAACTGTATGCCTATTTTACTGGCAAGAAGACAACTGTAAACATGCAGAGTAGCATGCCTAGTTGGAATACTGCAACCGTCTATGGTAATAGTACTTACATTGCATACTCCCCATGCCACAGTACATTCTTCAGAGGTGGCCGATGCTTGATTAGCTTGACATTCTATACCTACAAGCATTAAAACAAAAAAGGATAAGGAGTTTGTATTTAGTATTGCCTAAAAACTAAACAAATTCCAGGTCAATGGGAAAGAAAAAAATTTAAAAAGGGTATTACATATTGTAAGGATTAAAGTACATTTAGCAATATTAAGCAACTTTGAAATGTGCATGTACACACACTGGTCAAATATTTTAGAACACTGTAATTCCAGTTTTATTGAAATGTAAAAGTGACCCTATCATGAGATTACCAAAACTACAATGGTACTACCCTATGAAGGAAGCCAATTTATACGCACCTGTTCGGTGGCCTACTATGCTAAAACTTTGCTCCCAGCACCAATCCTATTCCACGCTTACTGGTGTGTAGAACTGCGTTTCACCTGCTAGCTGCTGTGGTTCCTCTCACTAAGCCCTAAATCACTACTTTGTCCTGCAGTGACTAGGGGTCAGCAAGAGAAACAACAGTGGCCGGGGGGATGACTCACTATTCAGCCAGAGCAAGTAGTCAAAGTAGAACTCCAAGCTCTAATATGTAAAGAATTGTCATCGCTGCTTAGGTAATAATTGGGCTGATTGCTTCACAGTACTTGAATACTTTTGTATCAGATAGCACAGCTCCCAATGTACTTCCAGTCAGCTCTGTACATGAGAGATGCTGGTCCCAGACTGCAGTGCGTGTCATCTTTTCCACCACCCGCTTGTGTATCATTGGATTCCCACAATGGCCAACTAAACGAAAAACAAAGCTGCTCAGGGTGAATGTGGGGCTGCATTATATATATATATATACACACAGTGGGGCAAAAAAGTATTTAGTCAGCCACCAATTGTGCAAGTTCTCCCATTTAAAAAGATGAGAGGCCTGTAATTGGCATCATAGGTAGACCTCAACTATGAGAGACAAAATGAGAAAAAAAATCCAGACAAATCACATTGGAGAAGACTGCACGTTATATAGCCGAAACAACTTTCAGAAGCGGACTAGGCCATGTAGTCTTGCCCTAGTGGGTGGCAATGGAACACTGGACAGCAGGCATAGCAGGTTACAAAAGGGGCGATGACAGATAACAGTGTACCAATCCTCCATTCTCAAGGAGACCTTTGTCTGACATCGTATGGCCTGAGTCTTGCTTTAGCTTTTATTATAACTAGGGAGGTCCCGATACCGATACTACCATCGGTATCGGGACCGATACAGGGCATTTTCACAAGTACTTGTGAAAATGAAACCAATACATAGCGCCGATGCTTGCGCTATGTTTTCTTTTTGTATCTTCAGGCTGCCCAGAGGTCACGCGCGTGTTGGGATCCTCTGGGCAGCTAAATTAGGACCCCACATGGAGCGGCGCCCACAAGACCAGCAGTGACGCGCGCTGCTCTCCCGACGAGCGGCGAACACAACAGCACTCGCGTGAGGCACATCCTGAAGCACCAGGGATAGGAGCAGTACTACAGTAGGAGTAGTATTACATCGAGCAGCAAGTTAAACGGGGCCTGTGCTGGGTTTAGAAGCAGGGGATCATTGTAAATCTATTACAAGCAGTGTATTGGGAATATTGCTGCAGTGTACTCTATATATAGTACATATACAGTACACATTCCCAATACACTGCTGGCAATCGATTTTCAATTATCCCCTGCTAATATGAATAGGTTAAATGATCCATAGTAGTGGTAAAACAATCGCCATAGCGACCCATGCGGCCGCTATGGGGCACAGCCAGGACATCCCTGATGCCGTGTGGGCCGTCTGGGTCGCTATGGCATCTCATCCTGCTGGCCGTCACTGGCGGCTATGAAGAGGAACGCGCCGCTGACCTGGATCTGTGCAGCATCTCGTTCCTCTCCACAGCCACTGCTGAATCAGTGAGTGGAGGAGGCTGGACCCGGTAGTGGAGGATGCGGGGGAACGGGAGTCGGCAGCCTAGGAGGCGGGGCCCATCAGCGACCGTGGAGGAAGAGGAGGTGGACAAGTAAGGAGTGTGACTAGCTCACCTGAAAACCCTGCAGAGCCCACCAAAGAGAGTCTATGTTGGGCTCTGCAGGGTCAACCTCAGGTGGGCTGTGTGGGATCTCAAGTGGGCTCTGCAAAAGGTGTAACTAGAAATCACAGGGCTCCATACAAAATGTTGAGATGGGGCCCTGTGATTTCTAGTTACGCCCCTGATCCATAGTACAACTACATATCATGTACTATGGATCATGATTTAACCTATTCATGTTAGCAGGGGAGAATTGTAAAACTATTGGTGCAGACTGCAGTGTACTGTATATGTACTATGGATCAAGATTTAACCTATTCATGTTAGCAGGGCAGAATTGTGAGCGCCTCCCACAAGCTGAGCACCAAGACCCGATGCAGCTATCCTGCCCAGCACCGACTACGAGAGGAAACGCGTGAGGCAACAGGGATTGGAGTGAAACTGGGACAGGGCTGGCTGTAAATCTATCGCTACAGTGTACTGTATATGTAGTACATATATACAGCACACACATCCAGTACACTGCAGTAATAGAGTTACAATTCTCCCCTGCTAACATGAATAGGTTAAATCATGATCCATATTACATAATATGTAGTTGTACTATGGATTATTTAACCTATTCAAGTTAGGAGGGCAGAATTGTAACTATTACTGAAGTGTACTGGAAGTGTGTGCCAGGTTAAATGATCCATAGTACACAACTCCAGTACACTGCACCAATAGAATTACAATTCTCCCCTGCTAACATGAATAGGTTAAATGATCCCAGAGGCAGATGCATGATCGTATTTGTAGTTTCACTACAGCTGTGTGAAACCAAATAAAAATGGTTTTATTGTTCTAAAACAGTCTTAAATTAAAGTTCTTCATAATCAAAGAAATTGGCCTAAAATCATTAGTCTGTATGTTTGTTTTTTTTAAATGCCACCTGTCCATTGAAGGATCGGTAATTGGTATCGGCAAGTACATGAGGGGGGAAGTACTTGGTCTTGAAAAAGTGGTATCGGGACATCCCTAATTATAACCAACATAAATGTGACAGGGCCTCGCTGAGCCATCACAATGTGATTAGATCACAGAACCGCTTAAGGAACTGGCAACTTGCGCCAAAATGTACCAAACACAATTGCAAGCCTTGAAAAATTTCAGAGGAAAGAAAAGTTTTCCTAACAAAAAAGTTGCCAGCAAAGTGAGAAGATACTGCTATCCGAAAAAAATAATAGAATTTGGAACAAATACTAGAAATTAATGTCATACAAATGTGTTTCATATGTATACTTATGAATTATAGTAAAAAAGGGTTATATTTCAAAAGCATCAGTCCACCGAAAACAACTTCAAATTAGGGATGTCCCGATACCGATGCTAGCATCGGAATCGAATTGGTAGACGCTAAACCACCTGTCAGTTTCTAATCTCAGGGACTCAACTAGTGAGTTATCTGCTCATGAATGTCTAGGCCTGCACACCTTTGGTGATTATAAGACGTTCTTACTCTCGATTTGTATAATCATGGAATATCCAACAGAAGCTGCTGGAACGGGTAAAGTAGGCAGGCACAGCCTAAAATCCCAGGGAGACAAGAACTATGCTCTCTGATGAAATATCAAAGGCATAAGAAACCAGGGACTGACTTAATTTTGAGTGGAATTACCCCTTAATTTCAATATATCACTGCAGATGCCAAATTTAAGAAAATGTTAAGTCTTGCTAATGTTGTATTTTGTTGCAATTTAAAAAGGCTTATTCTCAATACGCCATATAGACGTATAAAAAGCTCCTTAAAACTAAATTTTACTCGAAAAGCGAAAAAGTGTCTGTAATGGGTACCAAACTAAAGAGAGTTCGGTCCTTCCATGATGTTCTTGCACCAAATTGTTAATGCTAAGGCAAATATGTTCCGTTAGACTTACCGGTAACGGTATTTCTAG